CCACAGTCCAGGGTTTTAGGCCCGTCGGCTCAGCAGGGGTGGGCTGCCGACGTCCCTTGCAAGAGGCACTCGCCACAAAGTCTGCCCAGCAATGGCACGGCTAGTATATAGAATGCCTCCACCTGTGAGTGTGCTCAGGGCAACCACCCTAGACGCCGGGCACAGCAAGACTAGCTATCCTATTAGGAAGGAGTGTCCGACCATCACCGGGGACTCTGTGTACAAGGTTTATGTCAAGGAGAACGTCCGACAAGGGTGAGATGAGCAGGATACTCGGCACCTGGGTCTGGCACACCTTGGTCGGGGAGCTAACTATACTCACTACGCAGAAGGAAAGGGAAAGAAACCACGCCCTTACGGTGACCGCCACCACTGGACATAGGCTTCTGACACAGGACGAAGAAAAAGAAACCACAGCATCGCATCCCTTATCATCCCTTATCAGATTGCGCAAGAAACGTTGTAACACCGTCCAAATTTAACAAAAGAAAACACAAACGGAACCGCCACAGAGGGCCCGCAAAATTTAAAATGTCATTGCCCATAAGGGAGAAATGACTGGTAGGGAAGGAGACAAGGGGGGCAAAGACAGAAAGCAGAAAGGACAGAAAGCAGAAAGGAAAAAAGGGCCAAAAATCTACCATAAAAAGAGCATGTGCCTGCTGGTACAGGCCCAACGGTGGCCGCATCATTTGCAAAGGCAAAGAGCTAGCAACGTCGGAGAATATATTGTCACAGTGTGAATCAGAGCGCAGAAGTGAAAAAAAGAAAAAAAGAAAGGAAGAGAAAAGAAAAAAGGGGGAGAAGAAGGGGTAAGGAACGCTCCACCTGTTCATAACCTCTTACGTACAAGGCCAGCCACGTGGATGACAAGTTGAGCGCTGGCTGCCCCCATCCCCGTGTGTGATAAAGACCCACTTGCACACAGCCAAAAGGCAAAAAGGTAAAGAAAAGACGGAGGAAACCAAACCTCATAGAAGAAGAAAGCCTATTAAATAGATGAAGCAAGTACACATCCCCCAGGTAATCCAATTACCATCCCATAAAACATGTTTTTCTTTTTTCTCTTTTCTTAAGACGAAAAAGAGGAAGAAGAAGAAGAAGAAGAAGAAGAGGAAGAAGAACAAGAAGAGGGAGGGGAAGAAGAGGAGGGAGAGGGAGAGGAAGGGAGAGGGAGGGGGAGAAGG